TTGTGGAGAGACTGGGATCACCCTTGCAGGGATTTTACTTAGTCTTGTGTACAAAAAAAGGGATTAATGTAAGAATGGGGAGAAAGGAAAGGGAGGAGACTTTAGAAAATTGAAACAAACCCTGATATGAAGGTGAGCACTAGGCAATGAGAGAGAAGTGTGGATCTAATACACAAAAAGGGTTGACAGTGTAACTCTATCACCAAGCAGAGAGCAAGGCAATGCTCAGGTAGGGCAGCCGAGCAGAGAAAGGCTCCATAAAAGCACCATCCCATCGGCTCAGCAGCAAGCCAGCCACGTGAGGTGGCCCCGCCAGAGCAACCCCGAATGCCAGCAGCCAAGCACACTGCCACGGAGAAATAGGGTGAAACGGAACGCTTTATTTCATTTGTTTGAGGATACAATGGAGGGGGAATGCTGTAAACGAAAGTAAAACAATCAATCAATGCAGGACTGGTTGCTATTTAAAATAAATCAACAATTCAAGCAGGAGGGTGAAAGACTAGCTCCTCCATTTCTGAGAGCACAGACAACACAATGCACTCAAGTGCTGTTTTATTGACTTCTTGGCAATCTGCTCAGACCACAGGTCCATCTCCCAGCACTTTACCGCTGCAGATCCCATTCCAGTCACATGTACAAATGAAACAAAACAGAAGCACGTTATTAACAATAGAGAGCCGATGCTCATATCGCGCTCAGTCAATCTCATTAACCTCAGCAGATGGTCCAGTCGATTTGCCTAGTAGTTCAATATCAACAGTAGAGGATTCGATACAGCCCTCCAAGAAGATCAGAGAGGCAATTATGTAAACTTTTGAAATCAGGCTTTGGCTTAAACAATAGTGATTGTTTCAAGCGAACTCTGTAGCAGTCACTTGTGACACACACAGGCCGGTGACTGCGCAGCATCGTAGGGAACCGCGCACTCCACTCTCGGTCCTCATCACCCTGCGCCCATCAGCTCCGACAGCCTTTTGGCAAGGATCAGCAGGAGCCCTGCACAGGCCAACAGTAACGGGCAGCCGGAGTCCACAGCGCCTCCCACTAACACCCCGATTCACTCGGGAGAAAGAAAAGTGCAGCAGTAGCTGGTGAGGCATCAGCCTGCCCAGGGACAGACACACGTTCCTCATACAAGCACAGCACTGCACTGATGCAGCTGTGCAGCTCCCAGACCGGAGCTGTCTCGCATGCTCAGCACATACGTGTGTCTGTTTGCATCCGTGTATTTAAATCTATTCTGAAAGACTATTGGAAGTTCTAACCGTTGTAAAGAGACCTACTAGGCTATAACACGGGTATCAAATACACATAAAGTAACTAAAACTATAACTGAAGTAACTACTGAACTGCTCTCTTATTATGGAAACATACTGCAAGGCTTTAAAAGCCAATATTATTAGCAAGATCTGCCCCCGAAAAGCCTGCACTGGCCTCGCGCTGATTGCCCATGGGTGCACTGTTCCACCGCTGTGAGGAGAAGCCGCTGCAATAGCTCCAATTTATTCTTCCAGAAGAAATGGAGATCAGTAAAAGCTGTGCCGAGCAATAGATTTGTCCTTGAAGGAGTCTCAGATCTGTAATCAGCATCTTTGTTTTCTCCTCTCAGAAGATGCCTTTAACAAGGATTTAGAATGGAGCAGGAATGTAACGTCTTGGCCTGCAAAGAGCAAATCCAGGCTACCAGCTGCTTCCAAGATGCAGGATGCTTCAGGGGAAAATGGAAATAACCACACAGGGTCATTGATTACAGCTCAAACCTGTCTCTAGCCAAAACAGGATCAGAATAAAAGTGACGGCAATGCTACACTACAGCCCCATAAGCACGTTTTTATTCTCCACATGATGAAACCCACCCCTTTAAAGACGGCCAGCAGAAGGACTCTGAAAACACGTACGTGGTGCATAGATACTGGGCTGGAACACCCTCCGGGCCTTCAACTTAATTACCATTTGCCCACATAGTACGAGAATAGGGACCTCATTGTGCGCTCTGGCTGTATCCTCCACATCTTTCCCTGCTCAAATTCTAAATACCTATTACAGCAAAATCAAATTCTATCAAAATTATTTTCATGGCAGGACCTACGGCTTGAGGCCCCCTCTTTGATCAAAATCATTCAACTGTTAACATTAAAAAAAATCACCTACTCCTGCAAGGTAAGGAAACTTCAAAACTGCAAAACCCATCTGTCCAACGAAGAGCAGAGCCTAAAGAATGATCAAGTTAATCGCCTCAGATAAAGAAAGGCCAACGAACATGTCAGTCAAGACGCTGAGCCAGGGCATATCAGTAGACTGAAACACAGTCAGGCTTACCTGGCTTCAGCACAATGCAAGAAACAACTTTGCAGAGGGAGTTGAAGAGCCAGAGAAAGTGATCAGCATGTGCATAGACCTGCCAGCCTACGCAGGATCAAGGAAGATACACTACCACGAATCAAACAAAACAGCCAAGGTTGATTGATCACCCAAGGGGCAGCAACGGCCAGATTTAGCCATTACTGCTATCCTCACAGAGGAACACAGCCAACGCTTTCATCTCTGCATCAGCTAAACAAGCAGAAAGTACCTAGAAGAGGCATGAAAGGATACAAATGATATGAAATTAGGGCACATCCAAGTGCTGTGTTCACATGACAGCATTACTAAAAATATATATGTATTTAAAAATCTTTTGCACGTGTGCAAGACAGAGCTGCCAGCACCTGGGGTGACATTTCTCCAGGAAACCTCACCCACTCTGCACTGAGAAACGCTGCCCCTCGCACGGGTGAGCACCAGGATCACACCACTCCCTCAACTGCCTCATGAGGGATTTCAGAGCAGCAGCTAGACCGGGAGCTCCCAGGTGACTTGCAGCAAAACCATTTGTCCTTGCTATTTGATAAGGATATCCCTTCTGCCCCGCTCTTTTTGTTAAGTGTCAGTTTTGTCCCCTTATCTACAGAGGATTTGCTAACCAAAAGAAGGGAGCCATTACACCAAAGACATTCTCAGTCGTCTTCTTAAAGGTAAGGTCAAGCAGGGAACTCCCTGGCCTGCAGGGTAACTCCCTTGGGTTCTCCTAACAAAGGCACCAGTTTTGGGTGGAAGTGGGACTTAAGGATACAGGTCTGCACTGCCCATAGTTTTCAAGGAAGGGCCTTCCCTTCAAGGCTAAAATGTGCCATAAACAGGAGCACTTTGCAAGCAGTTTTCACCATTTTAGCAGCAGATCCACCTAACAACGACCTTCTAACACATTCACACTTGGCCCTACACAATAAGAATCCAAACACCAACGCAATGGGCTGCACAGAAACATCCCAGTTTGCTGGGCTGACAGTGGGACATAGCCTGAGTACCAGCAAATGGAGTGAAACTCCAGTACCCTTCAAGAAGAGATTATTTCTGAGCCAGGGCCGTCTCAGTTTAAGAATCACAGTTCAGAGGGGTTTGGGTCCTCCTTTTCCCATCATCAGATGCTCAGAGACAGGTCACTCATCACACGAGCAGTTAAGGTTCTCCGATTCAAACCGCAGTGCTCTGGCTCTTCCTCGGGTGATCTCAGACAGAGCCAGCAGCTCAAAATCCAGAAGCTTGGTAGATGTCACACATTTCTCTGGTGAACACACCGCTGGAGCCAGGCAGAACAGTCTGAACACTTGTAGCCCCACAGACTACACAACTGATTCCTCTTTTGGAGAAATGCTCCTTCGGGCTAAGTGGCACCCTTCATTTGTAAACATGTCTTTGCTCTGTAAACCCATGTAATGACCTGTATTATCATGTGTAACTGCTAAGCCTGCAACTACAAGAAAATTGATGCATTTAACTCATTCCCAAAGCTATTCTGTCTGAACTAACACGACACCATCCACACCCACCACTAGTGTAACAGACAACAAGAGCTCTCCCAGCTCCTACCAGATCAGAGTTGATTACAGAGACGCTTCCTAAAGAAGTAACCTGATACTGCATGAAGAGGATCAGCCTGCAAAAGGAATCCGCTTGCCTGATACTTCAAGCTGACTGCCGCAGTCAGTAGAGAGGGATATGAGCACCTATAAAATACTGATAGGCCAGCAGACACAGCTGCAGCACTTGACTCCAGGGCGGAAAGATTTCAAATGCTGAGCATTCATCCAGGAGTTACGTTTGCCTCAGCATCTCCCTGTGCAGTTAACAGCACCCAGTGCAGCATCATTTAGCTTGCAGCTCCACCTTCCCCCAAAAATGTGCGTGAAGAAAACAGGTTTGGTCCCCTTTCCCCTGCCCCAGCTATGGAAGTGTTTGTACTGTTAATTAATAGTCATTATAAGCAATTATAAAAAATAAAACTTGAGCACTGGTAAGGTGATTCCGCTGGACTTGCACCCCCTTGGTCAGTCTGTGCAGTTGGTGCTACTGGTCCCAAATCATCTGGAAAAAAGAAGACATCCAGCATCAGAGTGAGCGTGTACAACGTGACAGATCACTACCAACCTCAAAACAGCTGGGGGAGCTGAGAGGCCAGACAGCGAGCTACGCTGAGGTAACATTCCTCCTCAGCTTTAAAAAAACATCCTCCAGAGAAATCAAACTTGCATGATCCGTGGGATGAAAGCGCATTGCTGTGAAAGCAGGAATGGATGCCCCAATGGCACCATGAGTTTTAGCTGCGATGTGACTTGGGAGCAATTCCTAAACTGAAAAAAACCAGGAGTTTTTGTTTTCCTGTCTAATGCAGGGAGGCTCAGACTGGACACAAGGGCTGTCTCTCCCTCCTACGGGCCTGCTAAACACAAGGCACAAAGCGGTGCTCCAAACAAACCGGGGTACGTCCCTTTCAGTGCGCTTGGTCAGAAAATGAAGAAAGGCGAGATAAAGTCTGTGCGCCAACATAGAGAGACCACACACAGAAGTTTAATTTATGCAGATCTGGTTATAGGATCTGTGCCAAAGCTCCCACGTCCTTAGAAAAAGAGTCTTAGCCCCTCGCGAGAAAAAGAGAAACATACAAAATACCGGCTTACCGCCTCAGATTTCTTGTTTCAAACACCGTGTCCTCGTCGCTGTCGAACGAGGCCATCTCTATGTTCTCATCGTAATTCGACAGAAGGCCATATTTCTTCCGCTGAGGTTTCTTCAACCTGAAATGGGTTTTGCGCTCATTTCTGGGTCCCTCTGACCTGGGGCTGAAGGACGGAGAGAGCACAGAGTGAGTGCGCTGTCACACACAGGTTTGCACGGAGATGGGGCCTTCATGAGTCAAAGGGCAAAACGAGTGGGACCAGGAGACGTTTTATCGCTGCTAATTACCTTAGGTAGTTAACAGTGGCATGAATTTACAGCAGCATTTCCCAGGCGCTGCCAGAGGGATGCACAGGGAAGCACAGCTCCAGCCTGGCAGAGGGAGGGAGGGGGGATCCAGGGCAAACAGGGCCCAACCCCAGGGGCCGGGCTGGG